ATCGACACTGACAGGATGGCTCAGTTTTATTTCATCCGACACAATAGCTGATTTTTAAAGCTCACCAACGAGCTGGGAACACCAATAACCGGAAGTACTTAATAATGCCGGAAGTGATAATGCAAAGAATTAAGGTCAAACGAATCGCATTTTACTAGATACCACAAACACAGACATTTAGTATCTTTAATTAAGAACAACCATATATTAATATTTGACACATTTTTCTATTACCATCAGGTGTTCCTCTCGTTGGTTTTGGCTTGGGAAGAGTACAGTTAGCTGCTGGGTAATGTCAGAATGCTTCAAGGGAGCGTGTCAGTCCCAGCAAGAACAATTTCAGATTGGGAATGAGTAAGAAAACCTCTTTAACACAGGGTACAATAAGACTGATTAGGCCTATCTGACATGGTGTGTCGAAAAGTTCATTTATTTACGGTATTTAATACAACTTTTGTTGATGGCATTTCAAGTTTTGGAAGAAACTGATCATGTGGCACCTCGTTAGAGTAACATAACATTCAGTGGCGGGTACCCGGTTCGGACGAACCCCCCTTTGAAGAAATGTAACAAAATACTAATGGGTCCTGGCTTATAAAAAGGCATGCCAACTTACCTGGGCATAGGTGGCAGATCAGACAAACTATATAGGCTTAGCCCAACTAGCCTTCAATTAAATAAATTTAACAGACGAGTCGTAATAATTTATGTGAAGTGCGTTCTGCAGGCCTACCGATCTATGGAGGAACGTCTCCAACTACTCAATATTGTTGGAATATAATAATATATTGCCTATTTTTTTTTCTCTCTTTGCATAGGGCCTAAGAATGAGATAAACTTACCTGACCTTTTTCAAAAGAGGAAAAACCTTGAATTTTGAAGAACTTAAAAAGTCATTAAGACACCACAGAAGTCTAGAAAACTCATTTCCGGCCATCTAGGAATCAAAATTTTCCCAGGGGAGGACCCCCGGACCCCTTTCTTTCTTGGGGTTTTTGGAACTTTCTGAAACCCCTCCTTGAAATCCTGGATCCGCCCATGACATTAAACACATAAAATACAGTTTCATTTAATTGCTGAATACTTGTCGGTCGGTAGGTTAACAAATAGTTGAAACAAATTCGCTTTTAATCCTCTGCCATTCTGTCGACGGCGACTGGAACCCAATTACAATTTAGGCCTAGAAGACGGCTTTAACACGTAACGGTGGTGATTAGACACCAAATATCTCCAGTTAAATCGTTAGCAAGAAGTTTGTTTTCTGGCGTACACAACTACGGATGGCCTAATATTTATATATTTAGTTCATGTGCGCTGGTGTATTTAAAAAGAGTAATGTATGATAATTAGGCCTACGATATTATCTACATTATTATATTACTTTATCATGTTAATTTAATTCACAAGGTAATTTTTTTTTCTTTCTTCCTTTGCAGGATTCCGATAGATATCACATTTTGTGGCGATGGTTTGTGCGAGGATGATAAAAATGAAACAAAACGCACATGTCCACTTGATTGTTGCTCTGTTGAAAATCCGAAAAAGTGTGCCATCAGTGATAATAAATGCCCCGATATCTGCTGCTCAGACGAACACTGCTGCGATATACCTGCAAGCAGCCTTATAGCGGATAATGTTTGGATTTTTATTCTCCTAGGCTTTTTCGGTGTTTGTGTTTTTATTAATGTGCTGTGTTGCTGCTGCTGTTGTTGTATGTATGACAAATGTTGCACAGTAATGAAGAAAAGAAGACGCATGAAAGCTCTCCGCAAGAATTGTAAGAGAAGCTCCGTACCCATGAATGATGCCGGTTTTGAATATGTAAATTCTACACGTCCTATTAGTTCATCGAATATGTAATGTAAGGAAATAGTATGGTTTTTTTTCAACATTTTTTAAAAACACATGGCAGTACACATATTCGCATGATGTCATGTCATAAAACACTTCTGTTAATCTATGAAGCAAATTATGAAAATATTTTCCCATAAGCCATCATTGTTTGTAATCGTAAACATCGCTGTTCACTCAGAGGTGCATTTTAACGAACTTGATAAATAACTATTGATATCTAATGAATATTTAATGAAATTTTAGAAATCTACTGTGGCTGAAGGTTTTTTTTTTTCAAAGTCTGACAATCTATTGCCAATAATCAATGGAAGATCTAGGACGTAAGACGCCACGAAGTCATCTGCGCATACGTTATCGTTAAGTTCTGGTTGTTGGATGAACTAAGTCCTGGTCC